TATTCCGCCGATCGCTCGCAGCGATTGACAAAACAACCACTCGACGTCCAAGTAACAATATTAATATTATCATTTTAATATTGTTATATTATGACAATACTAATATTACAACAATATTATCATTTTCAAGCATTATATCTAAAGGCGTTTTTGAACGCCTTTAGATATAATGCTTGAAAATGATGATTCGCGTTCATGTGAATAACAATTTAGTTGTAATGAAATCTGAATGAAAATTCCATCTGATCTAAATAAATAACAATACGAATATGAATTCAGCTATAATGAATTCAAACCGTTTCAAGAACAATTCACTTGGGTTGATGGTTGAGAGATTCTTATGAGAATAAAAGTTACTTCCAGGGCATTTTTCTTTTTATTTACACTTCTCTGATGTTTTGTTAGCAAATGATGAGTTTAGATAGCAAATGACATTACAAGTTTAATGCGATCACGGCATGCAGTGAACACATTAGAAATTTATCAGAACATAACTCTGATCATTACAAGCATTCAAACGAAACACAGAATTCTTCACCGAGAAACTAATTTGAAGATTACCAGAGATTAATAAATTTACAAAAAAAATCTGCAATACTTTTGCTGAGAACATCACCACGGCAACCTAGAAGATGTTAGCGATAAAGTCTTGTACAAATACATGAAATCTAATTTTGCGATCATTTTCCCCAACTTCGTATGAATATCTCATTTTATTGCTCCCCAGTGATATAAAATGCAAGTGAATCTATAAAAACGAGAAAACAAAGAAGATGAATGATCCTATCGCCCGAATTCATCTTTTTTTGTCAGACTCTTTCAGTTTTCGTTCTTACAGATAATTCCATCACCAAATTTCATAATACAACAATATATTCATTCCAGTCAATAGCAAATGATCTGATTCCACATGCAAAGATAATCTAACACAATTTTATGTTGAATGGATGGAAGCAACGATATTCACAATATCAGAAAATAGATCAGTATTGTTCCGGTGACATGCAGACTAGTAACAGCATTCGACTGATGATCGGTGGGAATTCCGACATTCGGATTTCGACTGAACAACTTGCTAGGTCGGTCGGAATCCCAAAATGTAAATTCGGTCGGATTCCGACTGTCCNTAACACAATACATTTTACCAATCGGAGAAAACTCACTAGCTAACGTACATTCTAAAAACGTATTTCTTGCTCAATTGCAACATCTTCATTTCTCAACGAAGTGCACGGTATCATTTTGCTGCATGAAAACGTTAGTGAAAGTGCATTGTGTTCCGATGCAGCACTTGTTACAATAGCTCTTATGTAGATGAAAGAAGATTTGAGGTGACGAACTACACATGTCAATAGGAAACACACTGGACGGATAAATGCCTCAGTTCATTCTGGATCGTGAACTAAGTTTAAAGTGCGTTTAGAAAGTGCTGAATGGATGAAAATTTTCAAAGCTTAAGTGACTAGACATAATGTGGTGAATGATATCATACATAGTAATCTATGGATATACACCACCGCATCAATGGATCTTTGACAAAGCGCATCAATCAATCTCTTTTTACACGTTGCTGTAATAGAGCTCGAACACCAGTTGAGTAAAATTTAGAACGAATTATACCGTAATTAAACAAACATGCTTTTTAACATGACGTATCAGTTGAGTAGATTCGAGCGAAAACTGATCAAAGATGTAATATCAAAAGCGAGTAGTGAATTGAATCAAGATACACTTATGGCATGAACAGGGTGTGGTTTGAATGACAACGAGCCATGTGGCAATTGGGCGAGCTGCGCGCAAGATCAACTCGAAAAGCTTAGGAATTGAACGATAAAAGAATTTCGATGGGAGAAGACAATATTGTGAAAACCGATCAAATGACGTATTCAAGAAAAGTTATCACCAAAGATCAATTGTAACAGAGAGTAAACACGAAATTCATAAATGATTATTTGAGATTGCGAGCGCAAATTAAACCCTCGGAAAGCATGCAGCTTCAATATAACTTCGAAATTAGGATCTTGTCGCAACAAAAAACTTTTTTATCTTTCAATCAAAAATTCTTGAATTACGATTGATTTTCTGAACAAACACACTAGTATTTTTTTAGGATTACATGAACTTTTAGGGATGACAAGAAACATTCTAAAAAATCGAAATAAATCGATATCAGAGATAATTGCAAAAAGCGATTTTCGTACTGATAAACACAAACTAAACAAACAAATTCTGTTAAAACATACTCAGCAAGATGAAAATTTTCAAAATAAGTGTCTGACAGATGCGTTTTAAAGAGATGAACGGTAAATGCGTGAATGTATAATAGTAATGAGTGCACGAAACACCAACCTGTGCACCTCGTCTCCGTGTTCGATGAACGTTATCAGTCACAACGTCAGTTTCATCAACGATTTCCGCTTGTAATATCTCTTCAACTATATCCTCCAGGGTCACAATCCCAACTAACTCATAAGATGGATCACTTTCTTCAGGTGCGACAATGCGCTGAACCATCGCCAAATGATAATCACCCTAAATAACAATAACTCATCAATCACACTAACAGTTCACCTTCAAATATTAACACGCAGCAAATGTCTCCTTTATTCACTATAAAACGAGCACACGCAGTACACATTCAACTCNAAATGATAAATTCACCTTTTTGAATTCTTCGAGCATCACCCTCAAGGGAGTGTCTTCCATCACGAATCGTAATGGATGTTCATGATATCCGCAAACCGTTTGTATCGTGAAATTGTCATCCGGATCCAACAACGCCAAATCCTTCACGAACAATAACGCCACCACCGAATTTCTGAAAGATAATATAATTGCCAACGATGACTTTGTATTGCATACATTAGAAGGCTTTGATGGATCATCAGAAAATTCGCACACATTTATGAAAGGATTTTACTTACCTATCGCCAGAATATACTGGAATTCGTGTGTATCCCATTCGAAGTATTTCAGCAACAGTCTTCGTATTCAGAACTGTTGTATCTGGGAGCATAAACACATCCTATAACAATTTTTAAAAATCAAAAATAGAGTAAACATTTTACGGGGTAGCAAATAAATCATTAAAAACAATTATTAGATAATAACAAATATTTAGGTTGAGTAAAATTTTTAAAGATTCATCAACAAATTCCATAAGAATGGATGTTGAAGCAAAGAACTTATTACTGTTCATAAAGAATGATTCAGCTATCGAAATGTAAACCAACAACCAACGTCCCTAAAAACGAACATCAATCATCGTCATCACATCGCTGACTGTTTTATCAGATATTTCCATCGCGCCAACGGCAATTTTCAGCTCTTCAGCAAGACCTTCTTCGTCTCTCGTCGACATTTTTATGAGTTCCATTAGGCGTTTACGATCATATGATACAACCTGAAATCGTTTTCGTTTCATCACAACAGAAAAAATTATGTGAATGAACGAGTATAGAGCCGATTGGAAGACAGGACATATTTTTGTACAACTGGAACCAGATGAAAGGAATAATGAAAAAAGGAACATCTTTAAAATCAAACCTCGTCACCGAGGACACAATCCAGAATCTTACTGATCGGATAGGCAAGCGGAAATGTCAGCACCATGAAGAAACGAGTTATCCATATCGTACGGGCACCCACTGCTAATCCTTTCCTAAATGAGCACTTTCGTGGTAAACTTCGCAATAACGATAATATCACCACTAATAAAAATATACTTTTGAACGTATTGAAATTTCTCTATGATCGAAAACGTCTTGCACAAAATAAATAGGATTATTCAATCTCATAAAATAAATCAAAATTTGCAGCTTTGTTTAGAAAAACAACAAGTTNGATTGGACATTAAATGTTTGAACGCTGAATCACAGACACGAACTTGACCAGAACCAAAAAACAAGTGAAATGAAATGAATTCGGTAATACAAAACTAACTTGACGCATAAACTCTGTGGAAATATTTCACCGAAGACAACAATACCCGCAGATGAGACTATAAGTGCCACGTAACCACTCGTTAAATCATCAAATAAGATCGATATCGCCGAATTAACACACACATTGCCAATCAGCAGCGCGCACAGCAACAAATTGCCGGATTTGCGCACTGGTAAGATCACTTCAGCATATGCCCGTTCCATTTTTGAACCTTTAAAATATGCATCCCTTTGATCACCATTATCACTATCGTAATAAAACGATTACGAATGTCATTATTACTATCACTGTTATTATTACCACTGTCATTTAAATTCATTAACATCGGTCGTTCAAATGACTCTGAATGAGTTACAATTTTAATATTTTGAATAGAGAACATAAAATGGGAGTAAAGTAATTAAGGGACTAAAAATAGTATCCTGTTGACAAAACAAACCAGATTTTTGTATGAGCATCAATTCTTGTGGAGTAAGCGCCATAAGACCCAGGTTAAGACCTGAGAAGAGACCAGACAGGACGAGTAAACACGAGATTATCGTTATTTGAAGACCCATCGGCAAATAGTACTTCCGTGGAGGTATTTCAGTTGATATTGTTGCACGAATGTCGTTCAACTTAAATATTTACATCCTGACAATACTTCCGCTAGGAACATTTATGTAGACGGCAATCATTCGCATACGTTCGAAAAGTTGCTACTTCAATTTCACATCTTAATTCATCGACTTTGCATACAATTTCTACCGCAGATCGCTAACAAACCGTGAGAAAACTTCATAAATCGTCAAAAAAGAATCAATACGCAACTATCTCAGTGCAGATTTGTCATTCGATATGAACAAGAAAGCGCGGAATTAACTAGATGGAATGACTAAAATAATCACAAAGTTCACAAACCGTAAGAAAATGCGATTCGATCAGCTCACCGGATGGTGTTTCGCGAGGCTTCTGACGAACACATACATAATACAAATCTTTTGAACTGCAATTTTTGAATGAATACCATTACACATGAAATTTCGATTGAACACTAAACAATCATTGTAAGCATGGGCAAATTAATTTGACCAGTTGATTTTGGAATTCATGAACCTATTTTAGTGTGAATTAACGGAATTTATTTCAATATTGCTGCAATTCTTATCACTACGTACAGATGCTTCACAATGTTATCAACTTCTAGAAATTTAGATTCAATTCATTAGTTATAAGAAATTTTCTAGTCGAAATGAATAAAATATCAAAAAATCAAGAAGATAAAACTAACTCGGGAAAAACAGCCTTAACAACAACTCTTTTTTCAGTCTGAATCGTAAAATCCGGCTGCGCAATTGCAATCACGAATGACGAGCAATTACTCGGATTTCGTGTGAATATCACCAGCGCTATATCATCCATACCAAAACCGAACAACACTACACGCACTGGTGTATCTGGATGTACTATCGATACTTCTTTCTCACTGAAATTTATCGTTATTGTTCCACAACATCTTAAATTATCGACTTTTCATATAATTTCTATCATAAATCTTTAGAAAATCCGCTTTAAATATGCGATCAATCGTCCGATAGAATAGTTCATGATTGGCAGTGATAAAGTTTCAGGAATAAGAAATGCATAAATTTTGTTAAGGAGTGGGAATCACGATAATTATCATCCACGTTTAATTTGATAATATTTCTGTTAAAATATTTCTGAGTCGTACATTCAATAATATCATCAGAATGTGTGGCACTGTTCATAATCAATATCAAAACACAAAATGTGCTTCCCGTATTCGGTAACATTTATGACAGTGGATTCCCTTTGAATAAAATAAGCGACAGATAAAGGACAGCGACATGAAAAACTATTGAAATAAATACATCATGATAACATGGACAATCCACTTATGTTCAACATACTTCACTAAAAAGAATGTCACAGTGCGAAGAAGAAGCTACATTTTGGATCAAAACACACCTATAAAAGGACGAACGATTCAATCGGATGATTTCTTGTATGTGCTACGCAAAAAGAATGATGGGATAAACATACTGACATATTCCACACTAAGATAGAATCATTACTCTAACAGTTTTACAGATGAATAAAGAAACTCATGAAAAGCAATGAACTTATGATGGAAGCTATGAAAATCAAATGAATTAAGTAGAAACATACGTATATCCGACGAATCCATCGTCTTCAGATGGGTCGCCCTCAACTCTTATACCCGATAAATGTGTCTTCTTTTCGGTTGTAACAAAACCGAGTTCTGTCGCACCATTATTCGTTAACGCCGACTGTAATTATATGAGGTGTTAACGAATCGAACTTGACTGCTTCGTTCACAAACATCTACTTTCATCAGTGGCATTCAGCAAAACTGGAGCAAAAAGATTTGGGAATATCAGATTCACTTTGTTTTAATTGGCGATATTATAATCGGTCCATGACCGCTCCATCAACATAATCAGTATAGTTATCATTTCAGTGCACAAAACGAATTTATGACTGCACGGGAAAGAATGTACTTAAACCACTGTTTCATCAAAACTAGACATTATCAACTTCTCGGCCCCCTAACTTTCGTATGATTTGATGGAATAAATTGATTCGGCATGAGCAGAGTCATAACGAAAAACGCTTATGCGAATTCAAACAAAAACATGTGACGTGATCACTTTTACTTCAGCGTTTCTGGAGAATTCTGAGCGAACCGCGTAGAAAGCACTAAGCAAAAGTAACACATATGGAGTACTCCATTTCCACAACCGCATTCCCTTCTGAACAACACTATCGCTGAAAGAAAATAATTCTCGATCAATAAAGAACAAAGCAGTCACAAGTGGTTTAACATCATTGATTCATAACAATGTCATCGAATGATTCATACTAGCCGCCTAGTATGATCCATACAGACATTTACATCCGAATATAGATAAATTTGACGATGAGCGCATGAACAATGACCTGAAATCGAACGTTATGGCAAGCGCTCAGTTTGATGCAATTATGAAAAGGTTTTTAAATTCTATATCGCATTATACTTCAATACAATGGCAATCTTGTAGTTAACGTGTTTAAGAAACAGNGTCGGGACATAAATAAATCCTCGCCGGAAGGCTAATTCCAGCTTCTGGCTGAGGCCCATCGTTGGGCTCGGCCTGACACTTACTCTGAGATGAAGGCTCACTCTCATTTCACTTTGAAACTTGAGTTGCTGGATTGAGGCTCATCCAGGGTTCACGTTGAGTCTCACAGCACTGCTCAATAATTACAAAAGTTTTTAATGCGAATTTCATGAACACAGTAATTACAAAAATGTTCAGTACAATTAACATTCAGTAGACAATTTACTTTTTAATAATATGATCGAACGAAATGATTTAACAACCGAAAATTATAGTTTATTCCATTACTGATATATACTAAATAAATACATAAGATGAACTCAAATTATCGGATTGGGTGCATCCACCTTCTCCCTGTTACAACATCACTATTACACATGTCTACTCCAAAGTCTGCGAAAATCATATTCAATAAATACAAGACGTGAAAATGCAAGCAAAATCATATGTTGTAAACGATAACAACTACCTGTTAATTGAAGCGATTTTCCCTTTTCTTTCTCCAATGAACAAAAATTGAAAGACTCAAGCAAAGAACACGTAGACGTATAAACGCCGGAAGGTTAAGAAAATAAAAAAGGAAAAGGATGAATCAAAGAGCGAACTGACTTCCAAATACAACAATAAACATCAAAGCATCGATAACATCCTCAGTGTCTCTCTCACTTAAGAGAACATTCAAAAATAATAATCAATGAATGAACAGTTCTGTTATTGGATGAAAGTGAAGCGATGTGATGTTTGATTTATAAAATTCTCATCCACTCAAACTTCAAAACCATATCAAATGTTTTTTGTAACAAAACAACGTAAACCTTTTCGATTTCAATTGCTTAATTAGTTTAATGAACAACCAATTAACGGGTATGTAGTCGGAAACAACGAATGATCGCATTCGTACTTCATCAAATATCGGCAAGAGAAATGGCGTTACAAGAGTGCATCAGCTCATATTAAAACCTAATATTATCCCACTCCACTCATAATTTGGACTCCATGTTGGACTGATAGCGAACATCTGAAAGACTAAATTGCGAAGGTGCCTTGACACTTATAACAGTTACTTGCTGAATAAACCTGGTACAGTCAAAACTGCCGTAAACAAGTGCGTCCACATTTCGAAAATAAAATGGTGCTCACCGATGGTGTATGGGCTCCCGTAGTAATTGGAATCATCTAACAGTGGAATTGCGTTTTGGGCTGATCGTCGGAGTTTTCAGTCACATCCGGTTTGTTCATCTTTATGAAGAAACCAGTTTTATGAAACCATTTTACGGAACCTTCAAGAGTTTTCAGAACACATGCGACTCTTACGCTTTCAACTGTGTCATATTAGACAGTCATGGAAAACTACAAATTTACGTACAAAAAGTGACAGTGAACATATTGACAGCAGTTAGCACTCACACGGTACGGTCATCTGATGAACGTGAACCTATAACCACTCATTTTTATGCTCACACTTACGCTCAAGCTACGGACATTTTTCTATCCAATGATATCCAACACTGCTCCAGCCCGTTTTCTAGGAGACCATTCAGAACACCTGGATGAAAAAGCAATTCATAAGTGACGAGAGTGAAAGGGCACTTGTTGATGTTAATAGCATGTGAATTCAGCTATGAATTCACATTACGGATACAATTTTTGCAAACAGTTTGTTCAAAGCTTGAACTAGTCGTGAATCGAAACATGAATCAATCGAAAATGCATTATTTCGTCGCAATTGTTCGAGCCAATTCCTCCAAGTGTAAATTGTTGTTCATAGTGTCCAATATCAACAGTTTTACTGACTGACTGATCCTGGAATTCAGAGCATTAACAATAGGGTTTGCAAAATCCCGACGATTTTTCAATATCGGGATCAGGATTTAATTCCGGGATCGATTTTTGATCCCGGGATAATCCCGGGATCAAAAATCGATTGTTAGATGGAGTTCGTCTAGTTATTTCCAGTTCAGCCATTTCCTCAGATTATTCATAACC